GGGAATGGATGGCGAAGTGGTGTTTGCGAGGAGGGACTGCGTGTCGAGTGCCGCCTTACGGGGAGTAGCCGCGGCGGTACCGGCCGGTGAGGACGGCGGCATTGGTGCAAGCGGAACGCTTAACAGTGATGCAGGATAACCACCGGTCGGTGATGCAGGGAGCGGGACTGAAGCTCAGCGGCAGTGGGGCTGCACCAATGGCTTCATCTTCTTCTGCTGCCGATACAGACGCTGCCAGCAGTACTCCTGTGTTGGGTGCTGGTGGTGGTGTTGGCCCCAAGCAGCAGCCCGCAGTTGTCTCCGGCGTCCAAGACGATCCTCCCGCTGGTGGAAGTGTGGCAGGAGAAAGGGAGGAGGCAGGCTCAGCATGCTGCGGCGAAGAGCCGTCAATGTCGAGTGTGTGCTCCCAACCGCCACAATTTTCTGCGGGGTCGGCAACTCTCACCGTGGAAGAGAGGGATGGAAAGAAAGGCAGCGCGTCAGTTACAAATATTCAGAGCGAGTGGGCACAACAGGAACGAGAAGGGCCACACGTGCTCAGGACGGGGGAGAGCGCACGGAGAACTCCAGCACCAGCGCCAGCAGAAGGACAAACAGCACATGCGACGCAGCCGTCCGAGGACTCAGCAGAGCATGCGGCTGCACCCAGCTCGGGTCTCACACGGGGCGCATCGAACGGCGACAGTCAAGAGCAAACACCGCAGCTTCAAACAGCGACTGACGCTGAGCAGAGTGTGTCCGTGGTACAGGGAGTGCCAGAATGGGCTCAGGAGGACCAGGGGATGTGGTGAAAGGAGCAAAAAGAAATCCGTAATGTTTGACTGGCAGCGCGCACAATGCAGAGCACGCACCTGCGGCTGAAGCACCCGAATGACTGTCTGCTTCAGGCACCAGTCGTTCCCCTGGACATCCGGGCACAGAGTCTGCTTCAAAGTCGCTCTCTGGAAATTATCGATCGTTTACGACCGGTGCAGCAGAACAGGGAGAAGCACGGCCAATGCCCCTGCGACAGCCAAAACCGCCGGCGGAAGGAGGTGCAGAGGAGGCGGCACCGGAAGAAAAAAGAAGCATTGGAGGAATTGCCGCCAACAGCAGCAGAATAAGAGGTGCCAGCAGGCCCATCAGAACCGCCACCGAAATCACCACCACACAGCGCACTGCCATCCTCAACGGAAGTCCCAGCGACCATGAAGCCAACAGAAGATCTGCAGAAAAGGCACTGAACCAACGGCGGATGCAAGGCAGAATGCAATCACTGAGGGTCAGGCTGAGACAACTTCACCATCTTCTCTTGCGGATGCTGCTGCTGCCGCCAATGACGCTGACGCGGGCAATGCGTAGATTTTGAACGGTGGTTCCGCATCTCATGCCGCTGTGCCGGAGGGAGAACACCAACATGAACGAGAGGATGGCAGCGAGAAGGAAACAACATCATCTACAGCCACAGACAAAGCGAATAACACAGCGGCGCCTGGCGACAGTGACAGCAGCACCGTGGTCTCCCACACCACCTCCCTTTTTTGTTTCTTGTTGCGTGTGCAGCAGCTCCTGCTGCGGTGGTGGCCGGGCCTGCATGAAGTGGAGTGCGATGAATGTGGACGAAGGCCTACTGCAAATGCTTTTGTGATGAATATTGGCTGCACTTCCCGTGGACCAACAATCCACGTGGTGTGCGGGGATCTCCTTTTTTAATTGTTACTTTGCTGTTGTGTTGCTGTGTGCGCTGCACCTTCTTGTGTGTGTGCGCACCCTCCGTGAGGGGTGCCGACGCGACGGACCGCTCTCGCCGCGTGTGCATGCGGTGGAGCCTTGTGTGCCGCTCCTGTTTGCTTCTCCCTCTCCATCTGTGTGTTGGTGTTGCGGCAGGGCTGTGTGTGTGTGCCTGCTGCCGTGGATTGGAGTGTGTGTCGTGCGTGGTGTGCGGCGTACGGTGCATGCCTGGCTGCTGCCCTCTCCTCATGTGGTGTGCCCTCTGTGTGTGTCTGCCGCACCTCTCGTCTCCCCTGTTGCTCTCCATGTCCCTCACTGTGCAGATCAGCTCCACACCACTGAACGACCACACTCACGATGATGATGACGTGCCGTCTGCTGTGCGCCCTGTTGGTGCTTGCCCTCTGCTGCTGCCCGTCCGGGTGCGCATCAGAGGCAGCGAGTGGGCCTGAAGGGTCTTCGAATAAGACCACGACGACGACCACAACAAAACCACCGACTACGACAACGACGACCACAACACAGGCACCAACCACTACGACCACCACTACAACACAGGCACCAAGTACTACGACTACAGAGGCGCCAGCTGTGTCGACCACCCGCGCACCGTCACGTCTTCGCGAAATGGACGGCAGCCTCAGCAGCTCTGCGTGGGTGTGTGCCCCGCTGGTGCTCGCCGCATCCGCGCTGGCGTACACCACTCTGGGCTGAAGAGGTGTGTGCGGGCTGTGCGTGCCAGCACTCAACCGCGGGGATTTGTGCGCGTGTTGTGGTTCGCTGTATAAATAAGAGAAAATAATGATCTTGTTTTGCTTCACTTGCTTCCGCTGCCGTGCTGTGTGCTCCGCGTTGTGCCCCGCATCCGCCACGTTGAACGCATCGCGGACACACTCATAAGCATGCGCACTGGAGCCCTGGGTTTGTTGTTTAATTTCTTTTTAATTTCTTTTTTTAATTATTGTTTTTTATTGCTTTTTAAACTTGTGGTTTGCGGTGCGGTGTGCGAGCTCTGCAATCGTACTGATTCCATCTGTCTCGTGGTGTGTGCGCTGCTGCTGGGGTGCTGCCATTTTGTTGCTGTGCGTGGTGTAGCGGCTGTGTCTATCTTTTTTCTCCCCTCTCTGTTGACGGGGAGTTACTTTTGCTGAAGGCCACACGCAAGTAACAGGAGTGATGGCGATGATGACTGGCCGTGTGCTGCTGGTGTGTGTCCTCTGCGTGCTGTGGTGCGCTGCCGGTTTTGGGCACGCAAGTGACGAGTACGGAAGTGAGGGTGGAGGAGATGTGTTGACGCGGACGAATAATGGTGGAGGCGACGGAGTGTCTCTAAATGCGGAATGCGGGTTATTATCCACCTGAATTGGACTAATGAGAGCTGTTGAAGCTGCGGACGGCGATGATGCGATGAATGACACATCTTCAGCCCTGGCTCAGCCGGCCACCTCAACGTGGTGCCAGGGTCTAGTACTCTTTGCTAGAGAGGAAGCTAAGCGTCTGCTGCCCATCCGCTGCACGAGGAGAGGCAGGAGGCGCCGCACAAACGGGTCGGAAGGGCACCAGATGGAGCCATTTACATGGCTGCCCGCGGAGCGGTATTTCTATCCGCTGCTGAATTCCATCGGCGCTTATCAGCGCTACACATACCGTTTGCGTGCCGTATGTGACGCGCAACGACAAACGCTACTGCCAAGCGGAGACATTGAGCAGAACCCAGGCCCCATAGCAGTACTCCAGATGAACGTTTCTTGCCTCACGCCGTCAAAACTCGCAACATTAATGGCGCAAGGAGCAGACATAATAGCCATCCAGGAGACTTGGAAGTCGTCAGAGCAGATCGCCAGCATGCACACTGGAGATTATGTGCTCTATGCACAGTCGCGCATCGGCAAGGGAGGCGGTGTGGCGGTGCTGGTGCGGAAAACTCTCCGCTCCGAGCGTATACCTCTCACCATCCCCCAGCATGACACCAGCCTTGAAGTGGTGGTGGTCCAGGTTGCTCTGGACCAGAACCGTGATCTTATTGTAGCGAGTGCCTATATGAGACCACCACCGCAAGTAACGCAATCCTTCAGGCGGTTAGTAAACTGCCTTCCAGCCTCGTCGCCGCTCCTGCTGTGTGGGGATTTCAACATGCATCACCCACAGTGGGAGCCATTCTTGGAGACTTCTCCAAGCGAGGTTGCCGCAGAATTTTTAGAA